GAGATGGAACTATATCCAGTGCCTTCAAAAATCCGATGGGACCTGGCACAACGTCTCGTCTGACATGGAGAGGATGGCGTCCTCTTATTTCAAGGAAGTTTATACAAAAGATCCCACTCTTGATCATATAGAGGTACTGGAGTGCATTATTCCAAAAGTTACTCCAGAGATGAACGCATCTCTCGATGCACAGTTTTTGAAGAAGGAAATCTCTGATGCCTTATCCCAAATAGGGCCTCTCAAAACCCTAGGGGTTGATGGTTTCCCGGCAAGATTCTATCAACGTAACTGGGAGGTCTTGAAAACGGATATTATTACTGCGGTACAGGAATTCTTTGTCAGTGGTACCATGCCCGAGGGGGTTAATGAAACGGCAATAGTTCTGATCCCGAAAGTACAACACCCACAGGAATTAAAAGACTTTCGGCCGATTAGTCTTTGCAATGTGGTGTATAAAATTGTTTCAAAGTGCATGGTAAATAGATTGAGACCCCTCCTAGGGGAGCTGATCTCTGAAAATCAAAGTGCATTTGTGCCAGGAAGTCTTATCGCAGATAATTCGATAATTGCTTTCGAATGCATACATCATATATATTCAATCACTGATCGAGAATGCTCCTGCTTCATGTGCCTACAAGCTTGATTTGTCCAAAGCATGTGATCGAGTAGATTGGGTATTTTTGGAAAGGGCCCTGCACAAATGGGGCTTCTCTGAATCTTGGATATCTTGAGTCATGGCATGTGTTTCCTCGGTGAGATACTCAGTGAAGTTCAATGGCAAGATTCTGGAGTCGTTCACCCTGTCGAGAGGTCTACGTCAAGGTGATCCATTATCCCCCTTTTTGTTCCTCTTTATCGCCGATGCACTTTCAGCTCTGTTGAATAAGTCGATGGCGGAGGATGGTTTGAAAGGGGTCAAAATATGTAGATATGCTCCGGTGATCTCCCATCTACTGTTTGCAGATGACTCACTCTTATTCTGCCAAGCTTCAGAAGAGCAGGCAAATCTGGCGAAGGGTTTGTTGAACACTTATGCGATGGCCATTGGCCATCTAATTAATCCAGCAAAGTGTTCCATCCTATTCTTAGATTCGTGCTTGCCTGTGGTGGTGGATGGGGTGAATAGAATTCTGGAGATTGAACAGGAGGTTTTTGAGCCTAAGTACCTTGGACTGCCAGTACCTGAAGGAAGAATGAATAAAGGAAAATTTGAAACAGTTCAAGACAGATTGAGGAAAAGATTGATGGAATGGAGCGAGCAATATATGTCTTCTGGGCACAAGGAAATCCTTATCAAACCAGTCGCTCAGGCCATCCCAACTTATGTTATGAGCGTTTTTAAACTACCTGCTTCGGTGCGATGAACTGACCAAGCTAATGTGTCAGTATTGGTGGGGTGTTGAGAAAAGGAAGAACAAGATGGCTTGGCTCAGCTGGGATAAAATGAGGTTGCCTAAGGCGATGGGGGGCTTGGGTTTCAGAGATATGAGAGCTTTTAACCAGGCGCTCCTTGCCAAACAGGCATGGCATCTCATCGACACTCTTGATAGCCTCTGTGCCAGATTGTTGAAGGCCAAGTACTATCCCTCAGGCAACATGCTGGACACGACCTTTCCCAACCAGGGCTCGACAGTCTGGAAAGGAATTCTTCATGGACTAGAATTGTTAAAAAAAATGTATTGTTTGGTGAGTTGGAAATGGTTCTATGATAAGAACCTGGAGGGATCCATGGATTCCGAGGGCGTCCTCATTCCGGCCCATAACACACAAGCTATCCCGCCTAAACCGAGTCTCTGACTTCTTGGATCAGAATGGTGCATGGCGAATGGATAGGTTGGCACAACACTTTCGGCAGATGGACATTGATCACATTCTGAAAATCTGGACGTCCCCAAGGCAGCGCTGTGACTTTATCTTGTGGTCCCCGGAGAAGAATGGATTGTTCTCAGTAAAAAGCGCATATAAATTGGCTACAAGCGCTCATGATGCAGCCTTTGCCGGAGGTTCATCTTCAGGAGCACCAAATGGTAGAAGATTGATTTGGAATTGTGTGTGGAAAGCTTCGGTGCCACAGAAGATGAGGATAGCGACTTGGAATGTGGTGTCAGGTGCCTTGCCGACTGCGGCGTGCAAAAAATATAGACACATATCGAAGAGGTCTACTTGCCCGCTCTGTGGAATTGAGGAAGAGAATGAGTTTCATGCTTTCATCACATGTGAACACGCGCGTCTCATTTGGGTGAATATGCGCACCAGATGGCCTCTTCCAACGGACAGTGTGTTGATTAATATGGGCAAGGAGTGGTTGCTGAATCTTCTGAACGAAAGCTCAGATCATGTCCGGGACATGGTGATCATGTTGCTATGGCGAATATGGCAGCTCAGGAATGGCAGTTCACATGGCAAGGAAGTACCACCGGTGGAGGCAACTGTGGAGTATCTCGACAGCTACTACAAGTCCATTGGACTTGCTGGTCACTTTACCACAGAGGAGATTCTTAAAGGAAAAATGCCGGTCTCAGCTCAGATACGAGAGGGCAATAATCAGTGCAAACAAGCAGCGCCACCGTGGCCTGCTCCATCGCCTAGGACCGTTGCATTCTCCATTGATGGCTCCTTCCGGGACGTCGATGGCTCGGTAGCGGCCGGTATTGTTTTAAGTGACGACTCGGGTACAATCCTGATGGCGGCCTATCGCTACATTTTTAATTGTAACGACTCACTGGAGGCGGAGATTCACGCTATCATGCAGGGCATGGCGTTGCCCATTCAACACACCGGTGGTCGTGCAATCGGACTCGACAACAGCTCTCTCAGTGTTGTCTTCTGATGGCCTTACGAGATCAGCATATGGGCATCTGGTCTTGGAGATAAAAGGAGTTAATGAAGGAAAGGGAGTTTTTACCTTAGAAAATTCACCGTTGTCAAAATAGTGTAGCAGATCGATTGGCAAACGATAGCCGCACTGAGCGTACCACTACTGTGTGGCTTCACGCAATTCCACCTTGTATTGAGGATTCGTGGCCTCTCGATTGTAACACTGTGACAATGCAATAAGAACTCCCTTTTACCCCGTAAAAAAATAACTAACCATGAATAGTCAATACGTGCAAGTATAGTGGTACATACACGTACACTTGCTTTATTTTACTTTTTTGGGCATAACACTTGGTACCTTTCACAATTGATGATTGTGCTTAGTTGCTATCAATTAGAATGTTCTCTCCGTTAAAATGTAGAGACTAAATCATTAGGAATCCATGCGCTGATCCACATAATCAGTGCAACGTTAAGGAAATTGATGCTGCCTCAAACTTGCGCCCCTGCTTGGCCTCCACTAAACGATACACAACAGTATAAGATGCAAGGGAATAGTGGATCAGAAATACAGTACAATAGAAAAGGCCCTGGTCGATTCCGCCATGATGCTTACGTAGTGGATAATATAAAAGCAGGATCTAACTGAGAACAAATATATTGGGAAAATACAGAAAGAATGTACAGGTGACGGTGGCGCTAGTGGCACGACACAATGGCTTATCGGCTGGAGGTGATGCTTCACGGGTGCTGCTGCTACCTGATGATCGAGCTATGCCCCTGCAGTGCACACAATCATTCAAGGTTTGACATGGACAGAGGCAGCCCATGATGCCACCAATCAGTTAGACTAGCAACCGGAGATCAGCGAGCTGACAATCAGACCGAAGTACATGGTCGAATTAGTAGTGGTGGATGTCGAACACTTTGGCTGCTGCTGTGGCGAGCGAATCCGACGCTAGCATGAGCATAGAAGATGGAGGCACGCGACTTCTCTCCACCTTGCACCAACAAATCAATTAGAGTCTCCTCCTCTAATGCATCTACTATCACGGGATAGTTTCATTTACTGGACCAAGAATTAGACACTGGATTGTAGTGTGGCCACCGTTTGAAGGCTGGGAAATTCAGACATAGGCTGGGCATGCAACAAGAAGGTTTGGATCGTACATCTTTTCAGATCGATTCCAGATGGAACCTTGAAGCACAGCTTGCCGCGAGATGGGGGATGACCAAGAGCTGCGCTAGGTTATCGCTAGAAGATGCGCTGGTAGGGCGGCCGGTGACGGCGATGTAAAAGAAGGTTCTAGTAATAAATCAAGTGAAAATGTATAGATTGTTCCCATGGCTTCTCACATCGAGAGGGGCTGAGGAACAGTATAATGCATTGCTATAAGAATGCGTCGAAATGGAACAGAACCCTCAAATCATGAATTAGGTGCACTACATGTCTACATAAGAACTATATCGATCGGTTTGAAGAACTGCATATAGAAAGAACGACTCCGTGTGAGCACGCATCTACTATCAAAGATTAGTAAATCTGGTATATTTTTCCATAGCGTGAAGTATAGAGGTATAATATAGAGGACAGTTTGGCTTTACCACACCCTTCTTCGGAAAAGAGATTGAAACCTCCAGCTTCTACATCAATATGATGCACACTATCATAAACTTACTACACCTCTACAGCTCTACAGCAGAAATTGATCCAGCAACCAGGCAAATCCATATATAACAGATAAACTTCTGCTCAAAAATAAGATATATAGGTTACTTCTATTACTAATAAAAAGCCAGAACTAAAGGGAGAAAACGATAGTGCACATACTAAAGCAAACTGGACACTGATCCATGTTGTTCGCATTCACAAATGGTAACCACAGCATAAAAGTTGTAAAAGATAAAGACAACGGTTCATCATAAATGCCTGCCACAGAGACAGTCAACTAGGGAAAGGGTCGATTACAAAGAGACACGATGCAACTTTTTTTTGCATCTAAGCTTGGACATAAGCATATGCTAACTAAAGGTGACAATAGGGCGCTTCCCAATCTCCCATTATCTTATTCCTGAAATAACAGAACAAAAAGTTCAGAGTAATGAAAAGATTATCAACCTTAGTCTGAACATGCAATTTGCAAATGCTTACCCTTTGTCCCTGTATACAGGGTTTGAATCCCTCAGAAAAATTCACCACGGATGGGCATGCCATCGAAGCTCAAGAGGTCCATGTTGCCAACAACATCCTGAGGAACATCAAAATTCAGTAGGCTATCAATCAGCTCATCCATGCCATCATCCATAAGATATCTCATCCAAGGTTCAAAATTGACAGCATTATTCTCCATAACAGGAGGCACCAGTGAGATATAGGTGTTATTCTTGGCAAGCGCAGATTTTGCTCCTTCAGCAATCGTAGAATTGGAAGCAATGGATGATATATGTGGAGTCTTGGTATCATACTCCCAGCCCAAGTCAGAGCAGCCAAAAGAGTTGCTTCCTTGGTCAGAGTACATATCCAGAACAGGAGCTTCAACTGGGAGAGCAGAGTTCATTGCAGGCACAAGTGGTTGGTTTGATGCAAAGTCAGCAGATCCTGCTGGATGGATACCCCTGAATTGGTTCTTTCTCTTCCTTTTTGCTAGCCTTTCTGAAGGACCATCAAAACCAACAGTAGGCATGGTGTTTAAGTCATCTGCAATGGAAGATCAGTGAATGCTAAGAGGGATCAACACAGACAAATTTCTCTCACAGATAGTAAATATTTAATGCAATAGTAAATCATGGAAATTTTTTCCCTATTTTTTACCATGATTTTAACTAATAAAACTACACTCAAATAAGAATCCAACAATAATTTTTTTATGACAAGCATTAAATTTTTACTAGTTAATTATGTGGTCAAACTTTGACCCAAAATACGATGGAGACTAACAAAACAAGACGAAGGTAATACGCTAAAGGTAATGATACGCAGATTAAAAACTAGTTCAAGCCACCCGGGGTCGATACCTTGCGAGAGGGACCGCTTGACGGCGGTAAAGGGCTGGATCTCGACGACCCCATTGTCATCATCCTTCTCAGCCGTCCTACCGCACCCGAGCTCCAGGTTCGAGTCACTGGAATCGCCCTCAAACTCCTCGAAGTCGGCCTCGAACTCCTCCTTGTCGACGTCCATTCTGAGTCCCCTCCGCCCGCCAAGCCCGATGAAGCGCCGACACCGGTCGCCGCCCCATAGGGGCTTCCTATTCTCGGGCCACGGCACCGCCTCTGTCACCTTCTGCATCACCACAGGAACCTTGAGGTCCGTGAGGGCCCTTGTGCCACACATGATGGCCTCTCGTAGCTCGTCGCAGCCGTTACTGGGGGAGGGACCTCGCCGGAATTGGTAAATTGTCTGGGTTTGTAGGTGGAGGCAAGGCCAGCTCCCTATATACACGGTGGCCACATGAGGGGGCGAGGGGGCATGCGGTGGGCCCCACAAATCAGTGATGAGTCGCGTGGTGGGCGCCTGGGGCGGAAGGCACGAGGCACGTTCCGGAAGCGAGCGTTTCGACTCGGGGAATCTTGCGAGCTGGCCCCTTGGGAGAAGAGTATTTCTTGTATTTACCCTGGCAAATGAATTGATAGATGTACGTTTGACTTTCTTTCTTTCATGCAAGACAACATTTATTAGCTAAAGATTGTTGTACTACACACCTATAGTATGACTCTACTACTTTGGTCGTACACTCTCCATCTCGGTTTATTAGACGGGTTCATCCAACTGAAGGTCTAAGAAAAAATCTTCTCATAAATGATTTTGTATAATGCTAAGATCTTTGCGAATTACTCATAGCCAGTTAGGCCAATTATTAGCTCAATATCATACTAGCTAAAGATTGTTGTACTACACACCTATAGTACGATTGTACTACCTTGGTCGTACACTCTCCATCTGGGTTTATTAGACGAGTTCATCCAACTGAAGGTGTAAGAAAAAAATCTTCTCATAAATGATTGTGTATAATGCTAAGATCTTTGCGAATTACTCATAGCTAGTTAGGCCAATTATTAGCTCCAGATCATACTACACAACTGCAATACGACTGTACTACTTCCATTGTGCTTCTCCGTCCAAGTTTAATGGACGGGATTTTTATAATACAATGGATTATACAAGGGGATAATTATTTTTATTGAAAAGTTTCTGTAATTAAGATTCACAAAGTTTTCATGGCATGAACAAAGTTCAAGGCATGCTCCCACTTTAACAATGCTCGTCTCTCTCACTTTCACTTTTCTTTTTGAAAAGTTTTAGGTTCCCCACTTTTTTTGTTTTTAAACTTTATAAAAGCACAGAAAAGAAATAAATGACTCTCTAAAACTTCCGGGTTGCCTCCCTGGCAGCGCTTTTTTTAAAGCCATTAAGCTAGGCATATAGTGCTCAAGTAATGGATCCACCCGGATCCCAAGGTATATCAAAGCCAATTTTAATTAACAATGATTTGTAATTTAGTAGTGAGCACAAAGCAACATATATCATGTAATGACGAAGTCTAACTCTCTTCCTATGCATTGGCATGTCACAAAAGAACAATTCATGCACACAAAGTAAAGGCCAATGCATAGTATAAATAGTTTCTTGCAATTTTATCGTGTTAGAAACATAGAGAGGTGGATATGTAGTTCCTCTCTCATAATAATTGCAAGTAGGAGCAGCAAGCACATGCATATTACATTCATCAAAATTATCATGTGCAACGATAAAAGGCAACCCATCAATATAATCCTTAATAAGCACAAACTTCTCTGATATAGTGTAGTTGGGAGAATTCAAAAAGATAATAGGACTGTCATGCATGGGTGCAATAGAAACAGTTTCATTCTTAACATAAGGAACTATAGCAATTTCATCTCCATAAGCATCATTCATATTGGCATCATGGCCACAAGCATAGCAAGAATCAAGTTCATCAAAAAAGGGTATTTCAAATGAATCAACGGGATCATAGCAATTATCATAGCATTCATCCTTCGGTAAAAACAAAGGGACATTAAACAATGTATGAGTTGGAGGGTTACTCTCATTAAAAGGTGGGCACGGGTAGCTAATCCGCTCTTCCTCCGTTTGTTCTTCGCTCTCCTCGTCATCTTTTTCATCCAATGAGCTCACAGTTTCGGCAATTTCTTCTTCCATAGATTCCTGCAAATTATTAGTCTCTTCTTGGACAGCGGAGAATTTCTCAATAAATGCATCAATATCGGCATTGTATTCATAATTCTCATAGCAATATTTAGGTATAGCAAAATTTTCAAGCCTATAAATATCATCATGAAAAGCTTTATACTTTTCAAACCAAGACTCTATTCGTTCCACATAGTAATCATATATACCATTAGCATAAGAAGCCAAGGTTTCATTATCACTAAATCTGCATGAAATGGGAAGGTGTGGAGCCTTCATCCTAGAGCAACAAGTATAATCATATCTCAAGCATAGTTGCTGAGCATACCAATGCAACATATGAATTTGATCCCATAATAGATTTCCTTTTTTATTCAAGCGATAATCCCTAAAGTATTCATGTTGATCCAACGTGTCTCCCATTATATAATTGAATGGGGTTTTGTCAGGATTATTAAAGTAGTGCATAATATTTTCACATAATGAGCATCGAGGGTTTTAGGAGGTTCCCCATCTCCATGAGTAGCAAGTACACCTAATTTTTTTTGTATTTCATGTTCCATATTCATAATTGAAGATAGAGAACAACTTAGAACAGAAAATAAAAACTACTTAGTGATAAAACAAACAAGCACACACTAGAATATTCACTCCACGCTATTGCTCCCCGGCAACGGCGCCAGAAAAAGGTCTTGATAAGCCACAAGTATAGGGGGTCAGTTCTAGCCTCTTTCGATAAGTAAGAGTGTCGAACCCAACGAGGAGCTAAAGGTAGAACAAATATTCCCTCAAGTTCTATCGACCACCGATACAACTCTACACACGCTTTATGTTCGCTTTACCTAGAACAAGTATGAAACTATAAGTACTTTATAGGTGTTGTTGGATAGGTCCGCAAGATAATAAAGAGCACGTAAATAAAAAGTAGGGGCTGTTTATATGAACACACAACTAAGTTAGTTTTAGTAGAGAGCTTTTTGTCACGAGAAAGTTATTTGTCCCTAGGCAATCGATAACTAGACTGGTAATCACTATTGTAATTTTATATGAGTGAGAGGCATAAGCTAACATACTTTCTCTTCTTGGATCATATGCACTTATGATTGGAACTCTAGCAAGCATCCACAACTACAAAAGATCATTAAGGTAAAACCCAACGATAGCATTAAAGTATCAAGTCCTCTTTATTCCCATACGCAAACAACCTACTTACTCATGTATGTGCTTCTGTCACTCACGCCACCCATCATAAGCAAATCATGAACATATTGCAAACCCTATAGCAGGGATCCCTCATGCTTGCGTGACACGGAGAGCACCATAGGACAACACCAATAATAAAACATGCAACTCAAACCAATCATGATCATCAATCAACCCATAGGACAAAACGGATCTACTCAAACTTCATAGGATAGCCATACATCATTGGGAAATAATATATAGCGTTGAGAACCATGTTCAAGTAGAGATTACAACGGGGAGAAGAGGTGTTAAACCGTTGCATGGAGGGGGAGAGAGTTTGTGATGACGGCGGTGAAGTTGTTGGTGTAGATCGTCGGCACGGTGATGGCCCCGGCGGCGTTCCCTCGCCACCGGGAGACAGGGAGAGAAAGCCCCCCCTTCTTCTTCTTCTTCCTTGACCTTCCCCCTAGATGGGAGAAGGGTTTCACCTCTGGTCCTTGGCTTCCATGGAGGCGGAGGGGCGAGAGCCCCTTCGAGATTGAATCTCTCTCTCTCTCTATGTTTCCTTCTGTTTCTGCGCTCTCTGATTCTGCCATTTCACCGTTTCTTAAATTCCCGGAGATCCGTAACTCCGATTGGGCTGAAATTTGAACATGATTTTTGTCCGGATATTGGCTTTCTTGCGGATAAAGAAGGGCACCAACCGCCTTACAGAGTGGCCATGAGGGCCCAGGGCGCGCCCTACCCCCTGGGGCGCGTCCCTCGCCCTCGTGGGCCCCTCGGGCATCGTCTCGCGTTGATTCCACTTCCCAAAATTCACATATATTCCAAAAAAAACTCTGTAAGTTTTTATCCCGTTGTTTGATATGGATTTTCTGCAAAACAAAAAACATGCAACAAACAGGAACTGGCACTGGGCACTGGATCAATATGTTAGTCCCAACATAGTATAAAAAGTTGCCTAAAGTATGTAAAAGTTGTAGAATATTGGCATGGGAAAATCAAAAATTATAGATACGACGGAGACGTATCAATGGTCATGATTGGTTTGAGCTGTATGTTTTATTTTGGTGTTGTCCTATGGTGCCCTCTGTGGCGCGCAAGCGTGTGGGATTCCCATTGTAGGGTGTTGTAGTATGTACATAATTCTCTTATAGTGTGTGGCTAGAGTGCCAGAAGCTTACACCCGAGTAAGGGGGTTGTTGCGTATGGGAGTAAAGAGGACTTGATACTTTATGCTATTGTTGGGGTTTACCTTAATGATCTTGAGTAGTTGCGGATGCTTGCTAGAGTTCCAATCATAAGTGCATAAGATCCAAGTACGAAAAGTATGTTAGCTCATGTCTATCCCTCATATAAAATTGCAATAATGATTACCGGTCTAGTTCTCGACTACCTAGGGACAAATCATTCTCTTGTGTTACAAAAATCTCTCTATTAAAACTAACTTGATTGTTTCTTTATCTAAACAACCCCTAACTTTTATTTGTGTGTTCTATATTATCTTGCAAACTTATCCATTTACATCTACAAAGTACTTCCAGCTTAATACTTCTTCTAGGTAAAGGGAACGTTAAGTATGCGTAGAGTTGTATGGGTGGTCGATAAAACTTGAAGGGAATATTGATTCTACCTTTAGCTCCTCATTGAATTTGACACTCTTACGAAAAAGCTACAATTGATCCCTATACTTGTGGCTTATCAAGACCTTTCTCTGTTGTCGTTGCCGGGGAGCAATAGCGTGGGGTTGATATTCTCGTGTGTGCTTGTTTGCTTTATCACTATGTAGATTTTATTTTCTGCTCTAAGTTTTACTCTATCTTTAGTTATGGATACGGAACACAAAATACCAAAAAAAATGTTGTACTTGCCACTCAAGGAGATGGGGAACCTCCTAAAGCCCTCGATGCTCGGTATGTGGAAAATATTAAACACTACTTTTGATAATCCTGAGAAACCCCCATTCAACTTGATAATGG